TAAACATATAAATTGTCCTTAGAGGGTGTTTACAATGTGATTTAGTTTAGATTTTAATAATTTTTAAATTAATTAAATTTAATCGATTAGTAAAAATTTTAAATTAATTTAATATATTATTATATAATAACTAAACTAATTCAACTTTTTAACACTATTAAATGTATAAAATAATGTAAAAAAATTTAACATCAAGTAGAAAACATAATTATAAAATACATTAACATCCAAGTCAATAGAAATATAATAAAATGCACAAATTATAAACAAATTCTTATATTCTTTTACAATCGTAAAGATTGAAAGATTTGAAATTTTTTTTTGGCTACATCATTAGAGGCACCAATGACAATAAAAATGACTCCAAGATTTAAACATAATATAAGTAATTCTTAAAAATTGAAAAAAAAAATTTTTTGCTTAACACACCAAATGATTCAGTCCCATTTTTCAAATAATGTTAAAAATGAATAAAATTTAACATAAATATCATTAGAATTGATTATAAATATTCATAATCAAAATTTAAAACTCCTCAATCAAATATTCCACAATAGTAGAATATTAAAACTAATTCTATTATATAGTTTTAAGATTTCTAAAATGATATTTTTTAAAAACTTAATTGGAAGAATCAGAATATCATTTTAAGAACAAATTAAAAATCTAAGGTTCTAAGAGTAGAATTTCAAACTAGTTTTGAAAAATAAAGTTGTAGACAAATTAAAAATTTAGAATTAAAGTTAGAGTGCACAATTAAGAAGGAAAAATAAATTAGGGAATATGATGATATTCTATTTTTATTTTTTTAATTAAATTAATTGAGTTATCATCTTATAAAAAAATTTAAAATACTACAAAAATTTATATTATATTATTAAATTAAATTATCATATAATCATGTTTTATTTCATAATCAAACAGTTTGGGAGTTTGACAATAAAATCACAAACCAACTAATTATATCGATTTTATAATTTTATAATTTAAATCAATCTAATTTTATATCGAATTAATTTAGTTTTTTTTATTGAATTGGATCAATTTCAGCTGGACTAATCGAATTAGATTGATAAGAACACTCTTAATTGACCCTAAATCTTTAATTAAATGAAAAATAAAAAATAAAAAAACATCTATCATTTTGGGACAAAGAGAATAGACAACAGTATGATAACCGATTCTTGCAAGTCCTGCACTAAAAAAATTCTAAAAATACATGCGTAAACCCATTGAGCGAGGCAGATATTTCGTAGCGTTTCTACATCCATTCTCCTTTTGATTTCAACTATTAATAGGTCTGCCAAAAAGGAATTCCTAAAAGAGGGAGAGGAAACAATGGAAAATATTGCGTCGGTGTGAAATTGTATGAACTCATCACATGCTAATAATTAAACTCAGGGAGTTCAGCATAAAGTCATCATGGGTAAGCCAAATTCTGAAGTTTTTGCCTCCTGCATGGCATTTGGTTGCCTATCAAACAAGACATAAAATGAAAAGAAAATAGAGAATGACATGCAACTACCACACAACTATAACTAGAATGACATGAAAGGAACGCAGTTGAGACTTCTTCCTTGTTTAGGACTTATTTAATATTATGTCACTAGAATGCTGATAACAGGTTTCTTGTCTTGCTCAATACTTGTACATGCCCAGTCAAATATTCTTGGGCAACCATTAGCTCCTCAAAATAAAATATATATAAGAGGAAACTTTTTGTATTTTAGTCCATGGTTCTTTCACTTCTTTAAAACTTGGAATGTTAAGTTAGTATTAATATTAAAGTATACGCAAAATACTAATCCCCAATAATTGCATCCAGATATGAATAATAGATACCCAAGGGAAGAAAGAAACCAAAGAGCAGAGGTGATACCTGAGATACTCGGGGCAATGCCGTGTACAAGCAGATGGTATTGTTGCCTCCTTTGAACTCCTTATTCCACGCTCCCCCCACAACACCAGAATATGAGAAATTAGAAATCTTCAGGACCCAATTCTGTGCTTCTTCAGTCATGCTCCATGCTATTGATTTTCTAGCATGCACTAAGCAGTGACCAAAATCGTAAAATACCATTCATAATCTTGAAATTGAAAGTTTGCCATCAAATGAGTCAAAATGGATATATGCATGATTGGAACCTGAATTTTCAATATATATGTATTAAATCATAATCATCACAAGTAGCAGAAATTACATAAATTGTTTCACAACAAAACATCTCAACCACTTTATAAAATAGCAAACTGAAAGACAAAATGATGAAACAAGCCACTATAATACAAACCCCAAGAATTAAAGTGACAACAAAATAAAGCAGAGGCAAACTAGTTTCAGAGGAACACACATGGAGATCTCTTCTCCTTTTCCTATAACTGAATGAGCAACTAAAGATTACATTTAATTTAATGAATAGAAAATCAATAAGCCGGAATGTAGTAGCCTAAAAAACCAATGAATAAATCTCATTCAGTACTTGACCCAGCAATACTCCTGAGGCTGTATAATGTTACTCCTGGAATGGCAACCCAGAAAAAGATACAAATATATGGTTGGCTCATGACTGCTACTGTATAAAACCTTGATCTGATTCTTAATCTCAAGCTGTTCCCTGCATCGGGGCAAAGGTTCATCAATCCCATTTTTTGTAAAATAAGCTAGTGAAAGTTGACGGGAAGTAAAATAAACAAGAGAAGCTAAGTTGGATACAATCCCAACAATAATGGTTAAAAAGATGATAAGTGTAATAAAATAATCAAGAGAAGTTATAATCCCAACAATAATGTAGCTTAATTTTCCATAACTGGTTGTCCAAGTAAAACATTCATTCTTTTTCACCAACAAAAAGGGAAAATGAAAAGTAAAAATATAAATAAAAGAAGTTCAACAGAATGGCTATTCCAGGGTTATATATTGCACAAGAATAAGGTAAAATAGTGTGAGAATATAGCTAAGTAGGAATAATGCAGGGATAAAATAACCCCCATAGGTAGGTGCCATTAATTTCCCTCTACTTTTACCCAAGAAGAACCCTGGAATAGCGATTCCATTAAACCAAACATGATAGTTCACCATACATAAGGAATGAAGACAGAACTAGAGGCACAAAACATAACCATATAAAGGTCAGACTACAATAAGGGATATGATTTAGTTTTTTTTTTTTTTGAACAGCAGGATATGATTTAGTTTGTTTCAATACATTTTGGGCTTCAAATGAGACCTCTTGATTGCATCCTTTAAGTGCTAAATCAGGGCTGGGTTTATAAGGCAAGTGTTGTTTGAATTTAATTCACAAGTCAAAATAACTAATATCCTTTTTTTTTTTTCTTGATGGAAAAAGTAACTAATATCTTGAATATGGGCTATGTCAAGTGTCTAATTTTTATGGCATGGATATCCAGACCTTTGGCCTGACTAGTCCCTTTGGGCATTTGCAAACAGCCCCATCCCCAGACACTGAGCAAATCTCCACCCATGGTGGTGGGGATTGCCTGTTGAAATTGTTTGCACCCCAATGAAAATGGAGGGATTCGAACCTAGTATTTCATCAAGGTTTTCCTCACTCCTTACCACTTGAGTGAACCCCAACAGATAACATGGTTTATGTCAAATCTTAATTTGGATCCCGAAAGAATAGTGGATTGTATTTACCAACAACAATTCCATTTGCAGCTTCATAATTGAAATAAAATAAAGAAGGCTTGGTCTTATCAAACATGGTTTGGAAAAGTCTTGTTCAATTTCTAGGCAAACTCTTATTAAGCAGCAGCGAAGCAATTGTTAGATAATAACATTACATGAAGGATAAAAGAGGCCCATTCAAACAGAAGAGATTTTAGGAATGACGAATCCAGGCATACTGTAACTTCACCAATTAAATATGCTACTTCTTTTCTTTCCCTGTTTGATCTTAATATCTGAAATCATCAAATCAATGACTGGAATTTGTATTTTGATTGGTCAATATGTCAAGTAAAACAATACAAATAAAAAACGATTTGTTAGCCACAATAGACTTGCTAACATTGCAGGTACATATTTCCAAAACAAAAGTTAAATGTCCAAAAGAGGCATCGAAAACATTTCACACTGAATTTTGATCTACTAACCTCAATCAACCACCGATGCCTGAAAATGTTGCTCCTCAATTAGAGTTTGAACTCTCTGCAGCGAGAATCAGACAGATGTTTATAAAAAGACAGATGATACTTTCAGGCACATGAAAACAAAAGGAAACATGTTGGCTTGGTCTACCTTGACTGAGCTTTCAACCTCCTCTAGTTTTTGTAGTAGTGCTATGTCCACTGAATGGGAAATACTATCATGCCGAAGAGACTTTGATGGAGAAAGCTGCAATAACAAAGAAAGAAAAAATTACTGAACCTAATAACAAAGAAGAGAAAAATGGCCTTCATGAAGGACAGTTTCCCAGCAGGCAGTGAGCTGATGCTTTAAAATGTATGGTTCCATAATAGATGGTCTCAGTTTGCAGTTTACTAGCCTCAACAAACATTGACAACTAAACTAACCTTTATACCTCAGCAATGAAGAAATTTAAATGGATATAATGCAATTTTATTATTGAGGGATTAATATTAGGGATTAGCATACCCAAGCAGCTGCTGATGGACCAAGTCTCAAACTTGGAATATCTTCAGTTGCAGAAAGTCGTTGTGAGAAAACTTCACTTCTCGTATTTGACAGTTGTGTTGAAACAGCCTTAAATAGGTATAGAAGCCACATATCAACATCCCCTTCATTGAATCAGCACTAAAAATATAATTTGACAGTAGCAAATACCTTCTTAAAAGCAGTTGGATTTGCAACACATAGGATTTGCACATCATCACTTCGTGGCCTTCTGACACCAACATTCTCAATTCTAACAGAGTAAACACCAAAAAAAGACTGCAAGTATCCTACATTCAAGCAAAATTGTCAAAAAATTTAGAAAAAAGTAATATCATCATACCTGACAAATCAAACATTAAATTTAATTAAAAAAATCCAGAATTCCTAAGAAAAAAAAGTCAGTTGTTCAGAGCTATCTTTCCATTTCAATATTAAAACTTTAAAATGGTGATCAAGGAGGCTGGAGCAGTTCCTTTTAATACTCACTACAGTTATCACACAACAATCAACATAACAAAATATATCTGGCAAAAAATAATATAGCAAATTATATATGACCCAAAATCAAAAAGTTCACACTTGGGTTGAGCACTTCAAAGAATGCAGAAAATCTTTACCTTGTTCAATCACAACATCCGCAACTGAAGGTAACAGAACATGCTTCTCTTTCTTTAAAACCCCAAAACAAGGAAATGGCACTGGCCTAGTAACCTGAACTAAACAAACCAAGTATCAACCCATGCAGCTATATTACACATAACTTAATCTACAGTCAAATGCATAACTTAATATTACTTCGGTCAAATGCATTAGCTATCATAGCAATCCACCACAACTTCTAAAACCCTAAAAGAAACATTCTAAAACTAAAATTGAACAACTAAACATAGAACAGATAAATTTACTTTGTAAACTATAGAATTTGGGGTGAGATAGAGCTTCCTGGACCGGATTTCTTGCCGCAGAATATATCTCCGCACAGGCAAATATAGCAACATGAACAATCCAATGCCCCAAGCCAATATCAAAAGCAACGAATACAGAACCCATTTCGCCGTCAGATACTTTACGAAATTCTCCTCCATCTCCTGGAATGATGCCGCATAAATTACCGGTTCATTTTCCTCTTCCCTCTCCTCCACCGGACCGGAATCCGATAACAAACCTCTCTCCAAGCTCTCAATTTCCACAACTTCATCTCCACTTCCCATCTGAAATCATAAACAAAATGAACTCGAAATCATCGCCAAATTCAAATTTCTAACTAAATATTTCGATATTTTCGCAGACTTTTACTGATTAAGAACAATCAAAACAGGAACAAACCGCAGAATTCATCTTACCGCAATGTGAATCGAAATTTCTTCCAGAAGCTTCTCGAAATCCGAAACTCACAGAAGCATATTCTAGAACACAAAGGAAAAGAAAATTAGAAGAAGAAACTTAGCTGGATCACCAGCGATTTTCCAATGGAAGTTTTTAGAGCTTCATTGACGCCGAGGAAGCAGAAACAGGGAGGAGAGGTAACGTGCGCTGCTTCGGGCCGACGGAGATGATATTGTGTAGCAACCTACAGTGGATTATCTCCTCCAGGAAAATCGTCGCCGTTGGATATTTCTCGCTAGCGGTGATGGCAACACCTGGAAATATTTTGTTGGTTCGGAAGACCGGTGGGTTCCACCGCAACAGTTTGACTGCTCGATTTTGACTTTCTTCTTGATATTCTAGATTAAGGCCTCTTTAAAGCCCAGTAAGCCGCTGGGCCATCACCCTTGAAACGGAACGTCCCAACCCATTTTTACCTAGTTTCATGCCTAAGCCTGAAAAAGAATGAGAGATGGATCGTTGAAATAGAGCTAACTTGATGGACTGAACAATTTTTGAATTTTTTTAATAAAATTTTTAAATTTAGTTTGAAGTTGGTACCTCTATTCTAATGTATGATGGGGTCATCAAATAATAATTTTTTATAATCAAATAATAATAAATAAATAAATGAGACTTAACTACTGCAATAAATTATTTTCCATTCATAAAAATAAAAAAAATAAAAAAAAATAAAAAAATAAATAAAACAAAAAAAA